TTACAGCAATACTAATTACAGAATAGTTGTCACACACACACTAGACTAGAATGTCCACAAAATGTACTTCCCTTTTTCCTTATTTTAATAAAAATTGTTATTAATTTCCTTAGAATTTTTAAATTTTAGAGTTGAGCTATGTAAGTTTTTGGATTGTTTTAATCAGATTTCTCACAATGTCATATTCTTTTATTGTGGTATTTAGTTGATAGAAGTATAGTATATATACAATAAACTACACCCCTTTTAAGCATATAGTTCAGAGTTTTGACAAAGGTATACAATGATGTAACCACTACCCCAACCAAGATATAGAATGTTTTCACCACGTACACAGTTCCCTTATGCTCATTTCTAATAAATTCCCCATTATCCCCAAAGTCATCTGCTGTTCTAATTTCTCTGACCATAAGTTAGTTTTGCTTGTTCCTGAATCTCATACTCATGGAATCGTACAACATGTACAGTTTTGTATCTGATCTCTTTTGCTCAACATGAAGTTTTTGATATTCATCCATGTTGCTGCATGTAAGTGGCTTGTTACTTTTTATTGCTCCTTTTATTTCTTTGGGTGGCTGGGGTGGAAGTAGAGTAAATGAGGGAATAGGAAGGAGCAAGCGTCTTCTGGCACTGCCTGTGAATTTTAATACCATTCATTTCAACAACTGTAGTATCAAAAAGAAAATTATTGTAGAAATGTCAGTCCACTCAATATTACTCACTAACAATGACAACAAAGGTCAGTTAACAGCTTTAGGCACAAAGGAACATACAAAGAATATATTCCTGCAATTCTTAGTTTATTCCAATTACGCTTAATATTATACCTCCTAATTATTGAGAGGAATCAAGTCTCATATATTAGAATTCATTAATTCTTGTGAATAAGTGGGATAATTTTTCCATTTTATTTGTTAACAAGCTATTACTAGTACACATAAAGCCATTATATTTTATTATACATCATATACGTCCCAATTTACAGAATCCTATTAGATTTTTGGTTGATAATCTTGTGGTTCCTCTGTCAGAAATAATATGGTCTATAAATAATGATAGACCTCTTTCTTATAGAATCTCCTTTTTCTTAATTGAAATTTGGGAAATTTTTACCACAATTAAAATTCAATTTTATTTTTGTATGCTAGCACAAAATGCGTTTATTAAATAACTTTGCAACATTTACGTCCCATAGAAGTTTACATGCACGAGCCACAGATGTTCTTTTTAAACTCTGTGTACTTTATTTCTGTACCTTTGTAGTTATTTTAATATGAAGTCGAGAGAAGATATATAAGGGACTCCGAATCCAATGCCTTTGAAATTCGAAAGTTCCTTTCCCCAGTAGCATTAATTATGTTTAAGAAGCAAAACAAGATAGTTTTTCATCTCACAGGATAATATATTTCATAAACTCTCACATTACTTACAGTAAAAGCGTGCTTGCAAAAATGCTTTTGCGGTAACAAGGTACTGTGATGATGTTTTGAAAATATAGAATTTAGGTTCTGCCACAAATTCATCTTTAACATGCCTTAATTCAACTATTTCCTCCATTCAACATTTTAGAGAGTACTGCTTGGCAGTGAAGGAGCTCTTCTGTGCAAAAGAATGGCTGGCTATGGAAGAAAAGACCCACAGAGGACTCTACAGATCTGGGATGCATCTGCTGTCCGTTCCAGAATGCAGCAAGCTTCCCAGCATGCACTGGGACCCAACGGCCTGTAGCAGACTGCCATATTTAGGTAATAAAAGGGCTCCCAAGGCTTTGGAGGTTAAGAGAAATGTACTATTTTGAAGAAACTAAGGTGTGAACTTAAAGCTCCTAATATTTCTAGGCATTTCTAATTTTTATTTTTTAGCTCTGCTTTCCTTAGATAACTAATACTATCCTAATTGCACAGGTTAGTGTAAGGATTTATTTCATTTGTTCTAAAATTAAGAGCAATTTTAACTGCTGCTTGAGATCTTACCTTCTTTCATAGGGGATCTTACGAGAGCTTGTAACATTTTCTGGAATGTGCAGAAAAATAGCTAAGAAACATCTCATATTTTGTCAGAAGAGTGGAATAAAAGAATAAAGTCCTCTTTCTTCCCTAATGAAGCAGATTTTTAAGCATGCTAAAATAAGCCACATGTTTGAAAACGCTGATCTCACAAAACAAAATTGAATTGCTGCATGTTGCTTTCATGAACTTTGTTTGTAAGGAACTGTGTTGTTATCCCTAACAGCTGGTTTAATTTGAAAGACCCAATTCTTTCACATTCGAATGCAAAGAATGTTTTCCAGCTGTATATTAAAAAGCTGAAAGAGAACTTGGCATTTCTTAGCACTCTCTCACAGAATATATGAGATATCTGGATGCTCACTTTAAACAAATTTTTATCCTTTTCCCCTCAGATTATAAAAAAGAAAACCTAACAAGTAAGTAATTTTGTTTGTGCCCTTGAAATCGTACGTGTATGTAATTGGATTCATGCATGTGTATTTACACTCATACTTCCTTGATGTGCAGAACAGAATGTACAACCCCCTCAAAGGCTCTTCACCAAACTCACCCAGGGTAGAGCAAAAAGGAACATCAGATCTCAGTTTATAGCTCCTAATTAGGCCATGGAGAGCAGCATATTTAGTGAATGATACAAATACTATCTCCAAACTCAAGGTTGTTAGCCTATTTTATCCCTTATATGTCTATAAAATAAGCCAAATTTAAAATGCCACCTTTTGCTTTTGCCTTCATGACTTTGTATTATCTAATCGTTTATAGATGAAAACAAATATTTCTTCATTGAGCCGACTCATGATCTTCATTTGTGACACAGATCCTTGTTTTGGAAGATTGGTGTTTTTTTTTAAAGATAGTTAATTTTCAGTAGAAAGTTTATAGGGTCAAATCAAATGGCTTTAAAAGGATAATCACAAAATCTCTAGGAAAGAATTTAAGAAGATTGCTTGAAAAGGGATGTCCTAGAAACTAACTTGTATCAGATGGTATTTTAACCTGTCAAAATGCAGAAAAACTTGGAATGAAATTAGAAAACTTTTTCATGTAAATTAACTTCCTCTGGTTTGAGTGTTCTAAGGCTTAAATCACACCTACTTCTTGTAATACATGTTCTAGGCCTAATCCCCTCTGTACTTGGTGAGGTGCCAGGACTTGATTTTACCAGCTTACTTAAAGGACTAAGATGTAAAATATTAAAAGAAAGAATGCTACTGGTCCCAACTGACTCACTCAGTTATTAAATAAGAGCAGTACGGAAACCCTAAAAACCTATTATTCTGGTAGCCTGTCAAATTGTTATTCCCAAATGAAGGAATAAAAAAAAAAAAAAAGCTTTTCAATTCATTGTTGTATAAGCAGCCAAAGTTGACTTTGATTAGACTTTTAATTGATAACTGTGGTCTTTGTTATCCTTCAGTTGTTTACTCACTCATCGATTCAAGCATTCATTGAGGCTTTGCTGTGTGGAAAGTGACAATTTAATCTTAAATTAGACAGGAACAACACACACAAAAAGAATCCATGTTTCTGCCTTTTATACTGATTATAAAGGAACTTTGAGCAGCACAAACCGGCTACGATAACTAACTTCCTAGTCTTAAAAAAAACACAGTTTTATGAAATCTTTGATACATGTAAGAAAATGAGTTCCAAATGTCACAAACTGACCATTTCATCTGAACCTGGGGTAGGGAATGTCTGAAAGTATGCTACCTGGGTTAAATGCAATTATTATTAAAGAAATTGGCTGTATCTCTTCAGGTCAGTCAATAGTTGAACAAAGAAGGCATCCTTATTAGGCAAAGAATTCCATATTCTATGGAAATGTGTGAAGACTTCAAATATTTCTTGAAGTAAGCTTCTCTAGTAAGCTCTAAGGAATATTGTCAGTTCGCTTTGAGGAGTGGCGAAGAATATTTTTTAATCATTTGTTCATCTTTGCCTTATTTTCTTCTTGCTTGAACACAGGGACTAGAATTTCAGTAGTTTTTATTTTTTATGGCTTCTTTTGATGCAGTGAAATGTCTTTTTGAGCACGCGATGTCTTTGTACTGTTGATGTTATTTGTCTGCTAAGCAGGCATTGCGCTATTCCTCTCTTCCGCAGGACTTCACACACTTTGCTATAGAAACACTCAGCGGTGAGTCTGTCTTCTATTTCAAAGCTTCTGTGGAGAAAAGTATAATCTGGCTTAACTATTGGAATGATGATGTGCTTTTCTCTTTAATTCTTTTCTTCTTCCATCTTTACATATATTTCAAGAATGAACCAGTGCATGCCCTAATCCAGCACACTGATTAGTGTGTTATGTATATTATGTCTAAATACTCCCAATAGCCCTATGAAATTAGGTATCATGAATATCCTCCATTCTACATTCAAGTCAACTTGAGAACAATAGATTATACAACTTGCCTAAGTTCACCTATCTAGTAAGGGGTTGAGCCAGGATTTTAACCCAAATCTACCTGATTCTGACTCTGTCTTCAGAGCCTAGTTTCTTAACTGTTGTACCTAATGCCTCTCTGTTATCACCATTTTTTTTATTTCCAAGACGTCATGTATAATAAAGCTGAACTGATTGCTAAACTGATTCAGTCTTGAATGGATACTACTCTCTTTTCACATTCTATTATAATTGACAATTCTTAAGAAGGTCTAGTTGACAAAAATGTTGTTGTCCACAATTTTAAATCACCCAGGGAACTTGTTGATTTGATTTTTTGTCAACATTTAGATGAATATATGTTTTTTGTTTTTTTTTCATTTCTGCATATTATGGGGGCACAAATGTTTTGGTTATGTTGCCCTTGCCCGCCCCCCCAGGCAGAGCCTCAAGCATGTCCATCCCCCAGATGGTGTGCATCACACTCATTATGTATGTATATATCCATCCCTTCCTCTCCACTCCCATCTGCCCCATGCCCAATAAATGTTATTCCTATCTGTGCATTTAGGTGTTAGTCAGTGAAACCAATTTGTTGGTGAGTACATGCGGTGCTTATTTTTCCATTCTTGGGATACTTCACTTAGTAGAATGGGTTCCAGCTCTATCCAGGAAAATACAAGAGGTGCTATATCCCCATTGTTTCTTATAGCTGTATAGTACACCATGGTATACATATACCACATTTTATTAATCCACTCATGTATGGATAGGCACTAGGGTTGTTTCCACATCTTTGCAATTGTGCATTGTGCCGCCATAAACATTCGAGTGCAGATGTCTTTTTTATAGAATGTCTTTTGTTCTTTTCGGTAGATGCCCAGTAATGGGATTGCTGGATCAAATGGTAGGTCTATTTGTATCTCTTTAAGGTATCTCCATATTGCTTCCCACAGAGGTTGCACTACTTTGCAGTCCCACCAGCAGTGTATGAGTGTTCCTGTCTCTCCGCATCCACGCCAACATTTATTGTTTTGGGACTTTTTGATAAAGGCCGTTCTCACTGGAGATAAGTGATATCTCAATGTGGTTTTTATTTGCATTTCCCTGATGATTAGAGATGTTGAGTATTTTTTCATATGTTTCTTGGCCAGTAGTCTGTCTTCTTTTGAAAAGTTTCTGTTCATGTCCTTTGGCCACTTTTTGATAGGGTTGTTTGATTTTTTTCTTGCTGATTTTCCTGAGTTCAAAATAGATTCTGCTTATCAGCCCTTTATCGGACATGTAGAATGCGAAATTTTCTCCTATTCTGTAGGTTGTATGTTTGCTCTCATGACAGTTTCTTTGGCTGTGCAGAAGCTTTTTAATTTAATCAGGTCCCATTTTTTTATTTTTGTTGTTGCTGTAATTGCCTTTGGGGTCTTCTTCATAAATTCTTTGCCTAGGCCAATGTCTAGAAGAGTTTTTCCAACATTTTCTTCTAGCATTCTAATAGTTTCACACCTTAGGTTTAAGTCTGTTACTCATCATGAGTTGATTTTTGTGATAGGTGAAAGGGGTGGATCCTGTTTCAGTCTTCTACACGTGGCTACCCAGTTTTCCCAGCACCATAAGGATTCTTTTCCCCAGTGTATGTTTTTGTCTGCTTTGTCAAAGATTAGATGGCTATATGAGGATGGTTTTATATACGGGTTCTCAGTTCTGTTCCACTGGTCGATGTCCCTGTTCTTGTGCCAGTACCAAGCTGTTTTCATTACTATAGTCTTGTAGTATAGTTTGAAGTCTGGTAAATTGATACCTCCCACTTTGTTTTTATTGCCTAGGATTGCTTTTGCTATATAGGGTCTTCTCTTGTTCCATACGAAGCGTAAAATTATTTTTTCTATATCTGTGAAAAATGCTGTTGGTATTTTAATAGGGATTGCATTGAATTTGTAGATCACTTTGGGTAGCATAGACATCTTAACAATGTTGATTCTGCCGACCCACGAGCATGGTATTTTTTTCCACCTGTTTACATCCTCTGCTATTTCCTTCCTCAGTGTTTCATAGTTCTCCCTGGAGAGGTTTTTTACCCCCTTAGTTAAATATATTCCTAGGTAATTTTCTTTGTTGCTATTGTGAAGGGTATTGAATATTTGATTTGCTTCTCAGTTTGACTGTTATTGATGTATATGAATGCCTCTGATTTGTGTGTATTGATTTTGTATCCTGAGACTTTACTGAATTCATTTATCAATTCTAGGAGTCTCTTGGTTGAATCCTTGGGGTTTTCTAGATATAATATCAGCAGCAAAGAGTAAGAGTTTGACCTCTTCTTCCCCCATTTGGATACCCTTAATTCCTCTCACTCGTCTAATTGCTGTGGCAAGGACTTCCAGCACTATGTTGAATAGAAGTGGAGAGAGTGGGCAACCTTGCCTGGTTCCAGTTCTAAGTGGGAATGCTTTCAGTTTTTCCCCATTCAGTATGATGTTGGCTGTGGGTTTGTCATATATGGCTTGTATCATTTGTAAGTAAGCCCTGTCTATGCCTATTTTGTTAAGCGTTCTTGCCATAAAAGGGTGTTAAATTTTGTCAAATGCTTTTTCTGTGTCTATTGAGAGGATCACATGATCTTTGTTTTTGCTTCTATTTATATGGTGAATTACATTTATAGATTTGCGTATGTTGAACCATCCCTGAATCTCTGGGATGAAGCCCACTTGGTCATCATGGATTATTTTCTTGAATAGCATCTGGATTCGGTTTTCTAGGATTTTGTTGAGGAGAATTTTTGCATTTATATTCATAAGGGATATTGGTCTGTAGTTTTCTTTTTTTGTTGCGTCCTTTCCTGGTTTTGGTATCAGGATTATATTGGCTTCATAAAATGTGTTGGGGAGGATTCCATCCTTCTTGATGTGGAATAATTTCTGCAGGTGTGGTAAAATTTGGGTGCGAAACCATGTGGTCTAGGACTTTTCTTTTTAGGAATGTTTGCATCCAAAACTCATTTTTCTGTAATTATCAGCTACCATTTTGTACACA